AACTGAGAGAGAGGAGGATATGAGAGAACGCGGGGACATAAGAACGCCGAGCACCGGTTGAAACGATTAGCCTTTGTGTCTACTGCACTCGTTGAACGCGTTAGAACGGGCATCGCCGGTGTCAGGCGTCTGGCTCTCGCATTGGACGAGTAGAGTGGAGTCAAAGGCAGCTCTACTTTTGGGTCTACCCACTAATTATTCTAACCAGGGTTCGACCTTCTAACGTCCCCCCGCACTCTAGTCTCTTCCCCTCCCTGCAGTTTCTCGGCGCATAGTCCCCGTCAGCTGAAGAAACGCAGCGCGTAGCGAGTCGCGAGCATCTTATTAGGGAATTTTAGGGAACCGTTTCCGCACATCCGATACGGTAAGATGGGCCCTCCGGTACGAACTGCGCACGTACGATCGCAAAAGACTCGCACGTGTGCAATTCGTACCAAAAGGCGTATTGTATCGTATCGGATGAGCAAAAAACGCTTCCCTAAAACTCTATTTTTGCTCCGCAGCCAGTGAGGTTGCTGCTAACACTTAAGAAACATGGGGCGTAGCGAGACCCTGGCGTCATATTATTGCTCCGCCTCCGAAGAAATGGCGATATTAGCTAATAATAACGCTAAAGGTCGAATCACCAAGGAAGAAGCGGAATGGTAACAAGTCGCGTTCTGCGTTCCTTCAGGTGTCAGTCACTAAGGGACAATGCGCAAGTGAAACGCCACGCTTTGTCCCCGTGCACATCGCGTGCCTCGAGTCTCTTCGTACTCAGAGCAGCATCTATCGCGGAGATCCTTCTATTGTTAGCCGTGATTGGCTGGCTGTCTCCGCGTTCTGCACGAGTATTATAAATCTTTGGGAGCAATTCCATGCGGAGAGCGAGTCGTCTGCTTCTTGCGCAGGAAATGCGGTGACGTCAGAACCACGCCGAGTTCTGATTGGCTTTGATTGGAAGGATAGTGGGTAGCCCCTCAATGCTAGGTGCCTTGAGGTCTACCCGCTACAGTTTCCAATCAGCCAATAGGAGCACGGCGTTCTGACATCATCGAAACCCCTGGGCAAGAAGCGGACGAAGTTGCGCTCCGCACTGTTAGCCGTGATTGACCGGCTGCCTCCGTGTTTGGCGCGAAAGGGAATTCGCTGTCCTCGCTAATGACGAATCATTTTGTGCAACCGACCAACTCAACTATCAGTTGTGCCTCGATTTTAATGGTTTATCTCAAAACTGACGCCACAAAAGCGCGGACTTCGTCACTGTCGCATCCGCTTACAGAGATCAATTAAATTGATTTATCGCAAACGAAGCATACTCTCAAGCTCCTTCTGCCACTGAGAGAGAGAAATGACTGTAAGCCATGAGACGACCCAACATCACTTAGAATAATCAAAGCCTGTGAATAATCGAAGCCTCCTCTACGTCTATACTTAACGTCATCACACTCTTATGGCGCCAATACAGCCATTGGGGCCGAGCCCGGCGCCGAGCGTCCTTTGACGCATTAATTGGACACGAGGCTTAAACAAAAGCTGACGCAGGACTCATATCCGTGTCTCCGCTCGATCTCACCGGGATGACGTCCAAGTGCTAGTGTACAAGCTTTGATCATTCCACGCAGTGTTGGATGAGCGCACTGCCCTGTAGTATACTTCAGCATAACTTGGCAAAAAGGAAAATGCCACGGCCCCAGCGAAATAAGGAGTGTGTTTGACTGAGGAACGCGGCAGCGCTTCATATGGGACTTTGTTGTTGCTACATCGTCAGGTGCCTTGCTCAGACGCGTTTACATTCTCACAAGAACCGCATCGTTCTTCCTGTGGTCCATTTGTGGTGAACGTTGCGAGAAGGGAATTAAACTAGCATAGAGAAGATTAGATACAGAATGGAGTGTAAGCGACGATGAGGAGACCTGCATGCCACGGCCGTACAACGACAAAACTAGCACTGACGGCTGATGCCTTAGTCACTTGTCACTCAGTATTTTCTCCACAGTAAATGGTTGAGTGGATGCATGCATTTGACTCCTTGCGTATCTTGCCGTTTCAATCACTGCCCAGAGCAGAAAAAGAGATTTAAACCTTGAACACTTCTTGGGCCTCATGTTTCGCTGACTTCTTTCTTTAGGTCGCAGAGACTGAGTCTACTACGTGTTTCAAATAGGGAATTGGAAGCACGGACAATCTTTAGAGTGTATAAATATTAGGGGTGGGGTGAAACACCAAACGTTTGGTTTTTGACTGTTTCGGAAATATCCGAACTTTTTGCGTCTGGGGAGGCCTCGCCGTTACCGCACAACGGCGTATATTTGTCTTGTTCGGCCTACAGCGGAGTGGCAAGGTTCGAGTACAGGCAGTACTGTACACTTGCGCTTTTAAAAAATCTTGTCTGAAATTTCGAAACAGTTAGTAGCTTGCGGTGTTAAGGTTACTAGTCCTGAATCCGCTGGATTTCCTTGCCTACCATACGAGTTAGCAATCAAAACGCAACACTTGGGCGCCTTTCTGTCTCCAAACTTGGAGATTCTGGCAACGAGAAATTTGGATGCATTCGTTCGCTTTTTTTTTTTTTTCTATGAACTGTAACCTATAGAGGGAAACCTGACGTGATAGATGGACTCTTACACCAACGAACGATCAGGCTTCGTCGGTAGGACAGGAGGTGGCAGGAAGAACGCCCAGGTGTACCGCATTTATTTACTTATAATGCCTAAGTTACCGATTACAAAACACAGTTCAGTCGGTTTCATTGATTGTTAGCACGATACGGCATGGTGCTTCGTTGTCTGCTTCCTCGCAGCCCTACTCACCTATGTTTTGCTGTCACGACCGTTTAGATATACGAATGACCCAAAGCGCAGTGTGACTGACATGAATAGATGGCTTTCACATGACGTCATCGCATTGTTCTGGTAGCCATTCCTACTTGCCCTTGACAAAAAAAAAATCTCCGATGCGAAATCTGAGGTACGCACTCAGCCGAAAGGCCACCAACAATGGCCGCTGATGTGATGCCAATGGAAGTCATCTATGAGCTAAATGGCCAAACGTCACGATTACGGCCGATTAATTTCTCACCGACAAAGAGCTCGCGTGGGGGCAGACGTCAACAGCGTCCGTCCAGTTCACGGTGGTTCAGTTCCGAGCTCGTCGCCTCGTCGGCTCATATCTGAAGCACGCAAAGGCGTGATGTTTTGGTCACGTGATTGTTGGAATCGACGTCATCGCACCAAGCTGGTGGTCGTTCTTCGTCGGCCCTACTTTTTCTCCCCGAGGGAAACATATTCGCTGATTCGAAATACTCGCTGAAGAAGGTACGCGCTCAGCTGCAAGGCTACCACACCACTGCTGCTGATGTAAGGTCAGTGCAAGCCATGAGTGGGATGCCGCCATCGCTGGTAACGATTGTGAAATAGAAGCCTCTTTGATCACCACTGCTAGCTACAGCACACGGCATACACATCCAAGTTGCAAAAAAAAAAAAAAAGAAAAAAAAAAAGGACAAGACAGCGATGTTTTTCAGGGAAAAATTTACACGAAATATTTAATTAGTGTATGCAATTTGTCAGGTTAATGGTCAGAAAAAGTCACGATGTTCACGAACTTGGGCTGGCATCACTCCGAAATCATCCTAACTTATTCGAAACACTGGAGATTTGACCGTCCTTTCGAAGCTTTCCAAAATCTATTTTGGGCCCGAAATTTGATTCGAAAAAAACGTTTCACCCACCTCTATGCTGGAATAACTCAAGTTTAACTAAACTCTCTACGTTTATTTTGTGAGTATCAGGTGTTTTCAAGATCAAACTTGCACCATTTTATTGATAGAACTGCGAGGATTAATTTTTTTTTTAATGTCACGAACTCTCTAGATTTTAAAATAATAAGCATAAGATAATGTGTTACTTAAATTCCGTCGACAAACCGAATGTTTGCAAGGAAATTCATTAGAAGGAACTTGCGTGTAATCTGTATGGTGAAGACAAAATGAGGTAAATTTATTAATATTTTGTTTTTAGATATCTGTTTTTACTTTATCAACACAGCTCTATAGTGTAAATGCTTTGTTTCATTCCACACTAAAAAATGTGCCCGTGCTACAACTCCGATTAATGACGACAGTTCGGCGAATAATGAGTCCTAAATAGAATAAAACATTACGATTGCGATGTAACACTGAGCAGTACATCTCACGTACCCACGTCAGGCTTGGTGACACGTCACGTGTCTCGTTTTTAGGTCTAAACCTATAGGTTCGGCTTCGCTATTCGCCGAATTCTTTCCGATCCGGGTGCTCTGCAGGAAAGTACACACACACAACCGCATTTTTAAAAGTGGAGTGGCATTTTTGATTCTTGAAATAAGTAGATGATGTTGTTTCTTTGTCTGAAAACCTTAAAACACAAAGGGCGAGGTAATACCGAAGAAAACAAATCGCAGTGATTCGAGTGGAATGCGTCATAAACAACCAAGTTTCAGGTGGAATGCGATGAAACCTCGATAGAATTGCGATTTGTGAGCGTACATAAGTTGCACCTTTTGCCGACAGTGGCCACGCAGGTCGCGTTCGGAAATGAAAGAAAGCTGGGGCCATGTACCAGGAGGAAAGGAAGGCAAAGAGGTTAATCTCGGCAATTAGTCCCGGCTCAGAGAAGAAGGTGAAGGTGGGAAGAACCAACACCTCCCAGATGGCAAGGCCATATTCCTGGGTTTCTCACGCCACCTATCACAGGCCAGCGCGGCCGATACAGATTGAACACTAGCGTTGCGTCTCTATGTTCGGCTGGGAGTGGTGTTGAGTCGGCGGAACGCTAATTGCAACCGAACGCTTAGGCTGAACACGTGTTCAATTCATGCCTCGAGCAGGCCTCCGCTAGGTGACGTCAGAAATCCAGCAGTGCGGCCTTGTTACACAGGAGGTGTAAGAGGAACACGACGCTGCTGTAACAAACCGCTGCGTCAGATGTCAGTGAAACCAAATGGTGAAAGAAAATCATGCAGCGAGTCGGGACACAACGTTCAACCAACAAATTTTATTTCGCGATAAATATATAATTTTCTTTTTCTCTCTTTTTTTTCTTTGTGGTAGATAAACAACAAATAGAGCACAGGGAACAGCCATTACAGGGACTGCCACTATGCAATCGAACCACGGGGAACAAACATCGGGAGAAAAAAATAACAGAAAAGTCTTAAATTACGTCGACATCAACAAGGACAGTGAACAGAAACCGTAACGACAATTCCAAGAACTCGAACCTCTGTACAACTGTGTGTAAAGGTTAAAAAGTATGACCTTGCTCTCGCATACGTCAAAGGGAGTATAAGTTTTCTTTCTTTCTTCCTCTTTTTTTTCCTTTCACTACAGTGCGCACAAACACCGCTGAAGGGCATCCAAAAATAATGCGGACACAATCGAACCTTGCTGACAAATATTTCATACTTTGAGGGGCGGACCGAAACATAACCACAGCTCTGTTACAATCTCGCACAGTCATGCATGGTATGGCAACGGGGACGACGCCCTTGACTCTTTTCAAATCAGAGCAGCACATCGACAGGCTCACGTAGATCATTCTAAAGAGCTCCTGAGGCCTGAAACCTTGTAGGGGAGCATCGTCTTCTTTAAAAAAAGCAGGTGTTCTAAATATTTGCAACCCAAGGCCAAGAACCTTCCAAGTGCTCGTCCTCGAACTTTTCCAATCATTATCGTTAGAAAAGATATGGTGTGGACATCGCGTGCCTGCTGATCAGCACCGGCAGGAGATTGACTTGTTACAAAATATTATTGTACGAAAGAACAAAATGCGCACTGGGGTGTAAACGTTTTAGACTTCGTCATTCTCTCAGCTTAGTGAGGTGTGATAATAGAAAAGTATTATCACACCGGATTAATTGCTGAGTAATTATGCTTTAATGCCTCGCTTGGCTTAACTGATAAAAAAATGTTTTTTCAAATGCTGATGCTGCATGCATCCTCTTTGGGACGACTATCACCGGTTCTCTTGAGAGCTTAGTGTTTTAACGCCGAGTTTCAGTCGCATGGCGTCAGCAAGGTTCGATCATCGAACAAACTATTTGGCAATTCCGCAGTGTTGGCGGCACAACAACAGCCCTATACTCCTTCTACTGTGCTCTCCTTGCTTTGGTCGTGGCATCGCTACTCTACGTTTTTTTTCGTTGTAGGTGATCCTTGCGCCTATCCGACAATTTCACCTAACATGTTTCACCGCTTACGTAATGTCGCTATGTGCGTGATCGCTAACGGTCCAACTTTAACATTGGCGAGCACGCGGGTAATGGGCCAAAATGCCGAGAGGGAAGACTGTTCCTCTATAAATGTTCGGTAACTGCAGTTACTTCAAATGCAGTCAGCATACCTGCGACGCCTTTCTCAGAACTATACGACCCTATTTTAAATAAAGATACCATGCACTTCTAAATCACACGTCACAACGACACCTGTGTCAGTGTGACCCTATTTGTGAATTAAGCTGGCGAGTTGGCGATGGTCTTTTGTGCGCAGATTTTCGCTATCTCTAACTGAGAAATCGTTCTCGCTTTTTTTCTTGCTTGGTTTTTGCCTTTTATTATTTATTCCCGTTAATTTTGATGGGTATATAAATTTTTACGAGTTGTAAATATTTTTTCTCGTTAAAGGGGTCCCCGATCCAAATGTCGATTAAACGTTCGTCAACAACTCTTCTGTCAGTGGCCATTATTTCCGCATAGTGCATATTTCCTTTCAGTGAATTCTTCCAGTTGGTGCATATATCTCTTACTAATTAACACTTTCCGGTCACTGTTACTTTACCTTACTTCACTAGTCGTATGTAGCATATATATATATACACATGTAGACATGCATGGATATACATATCTAGGTAATTATCCTCTGCATTGAAGACAAGGAACGATCACGGCACAGAAGAATGTTCCTGCTAAAGGTAAACTGGAGCGTTAGAACAACGTTTAACAGGCAGCTCGTGAGGAGTACAAAGCCAGCGCTCAATTCGCGAGAGGAACATCTGGACAAACAACAAGGCCACGTGATCACTTTCGCACAGGGGTTCTTCACGCCGGCAATCAAATCCTTGCAAACGCAGGCTTCTTTCAGCCGCTTTTGTTCCAGATGACCGCAGCAGGAGACAACAGCAGGAAGTCAAACGTGGGACACATGCTAAGTTTTTTTTTCTTTTGTTTTGTCAATTGCACTTTTGCAGGACTGTTACACACTAGCAAGACTCGGAAACCAACACGCTCAAAAGATGCTACAGCGAGGGTTCGATTCTCAATCCTATGAAAAACCATTCATTAACGTATGCCATTCGGTTTTGCGGCCAGTTCTTAAATCATTTCTTTTTGCAGACAGATAATTTGGCCTAAATTACACCGAACCGCAAGTAAATGCTTCATATATTTTCCTGCTTCTGTTGGCTTCGATTTTTAAAAACCGTCTCTAAAGTCGAGGCTACAGGGTTCGTTTGCTTTCGTCGACGAAAGATCGGTATTTTAAGACGAAAACGCACGAAATTTATTAATTTTTTTAGACTGTCTATGCCGCTTATTCGGTCAAAAAGTGATATGTCGTTCCTACACGCTCGAGCGTTTCAAAAACAAACAAAGAAATAATTCTCGATGCCACCTTGCGCTGATTTCGGTATCTTACTTGACTGAATCTGATTAGATCGATCGGTCGCATTATACACATTCCGAAATTAACTTGGCAACAACAGAGAAGAGCAGTGCAATGTTCCAACACATGAAAAAGAGCAGGATCACCCAACGAAGGTCGCTTATCACGGAGATTGGAGTAGAGTGAGCTCCAAATTAGAATGGTGTTTCATTTTGAACAATGTAATGAAAATGAACTGAATCGCTCTTCCGATGTTCTAATCTGCGCAAATTGAGAAATGTGAACCCTCGCTGAAGCGTGACAAACGTCTGCGACGCTGGTTTCCGCGAAGATAGTTGCCGGGACTCGGGATCCCTACAGAGACGAACCCCTTTGGCACATAGTACATATGGACAAAAATAATTGGCTCGTACGTCTAGGCGTACGACCTTATAATTGGCTACCCACGGAAATTTCGAAATCTTGTGAGAAATAAGATTATGCGAAATTTCCTGGACGACTAGTGTCACGTTGTGTGCAACAAAATATATTGCCGCTTGGATCAGTTTTGTGGTCGTCTGTCCGCGCTGTTATCCCTTAAGGAATTCCCAATTCATTTCTACTCTACAGGGTTCATCGAAGCAAACACAACGGTGTTATGCGTATCCACTATCAACATTTTTGCACGTGTTCCGAAGTTTCTAGGTTGCATTCAAGTAGCGGTCCGAGGACAACGAGAAAAGCACGATCCACCGCCCGTCTTGGGAAATCCACGCATTTCTTTGCAACTATTAAACGAGAGGGTGACCTTCGACTCTTCTAATATTTAATAAAATAATATTAGTCCTAGGTGACCCATGACTTATTTTCACTTTTGTTCTTTTGCCGTAGCTATCAACATGTCCCATGCCCACTCATTGCCTTGCAGATGAGCAAAACAGTTCGGAACTGCACCTAAACCGCTACAGTGGTGTCGCGAGTCTCGTAGCGCACACGCTGACAGGCCGGCTACAGCACTTGTCTGTGACTACTGCGTCTAGTGAGTGCCTGTCCATGTGGATGCTATGGGATTCTGCTTCGTCGTCTTGTCTTAAGTATAACGGTGCTCCGAGGCGCCACCTAGCAGAGGAGCGAGCGTCCACCACCATATGCAAGTAGAAAGAGCAGTACCGACGTAGCGCCCTCTGTGGGTCTGAAGAGCGGCGTGGAGGCCGACGGGAAGCTCCTGAACACTTGGCGTCCGTTCAGTGGAAGCACGGGCCTGTAGTTGTCGACCAGGAGCGGCGAGTCGTCCTGGGAACCGGCTCGCAGCTGCCGGAACTGTTCCATCTTGAAAAATAGAGAACAAAATGGCGGAAGGACAGAACATGAAGTTAAGCAGAACACGGGAGAACTGTACTGTGAGTAAAGACCGGTTTAAACCAAACCGGGTTGTGCGTCCCAGAAACCGCAGTCTTCGCGACTTCCGGCGGCCGTTGCGGGAGGCAATTTTGCGGTTTACTATGTATGGTCGAGCTAGCTGCATAAGACCCGAGGGATGGGACTGCATTTTTTCTCTCTCTCGCCCGCGATGCGTCGCGAAAGGAGAGTAGAGCTTTCGAGCGCAAGTGAAGTGAGCTTGAATGCGTCGCAAGGCAACGGGGTTGGACAGCACTATGGTACCTAAAGCGCGTTTCCGATTGGTGTTTTTACCGAGTAAAAAAAAGTGGCACCTCGTTTCCGCCTGATGACGTCACACAAGTGTCACGCTGTCGCCGGCCGCGACACTGTCGCTGTCACGGCAGCGGTAATGGAACTGGCAGACGCCTGTTCCGCTGGAGGTCGCTCCCCAGCCTGACAGTTCGCAGAAGCTTCGGCAGTCAGGTGTTGGGACGCGCGACGACAGCGACACTCGCGTTCGCTCATGCTTTTCGCCAGCATTTCTACGACCAACCGCTAGGATCGCAACATCCGTCAGAATGACACTCCGGCTTCTGTGACGTCATTCGTTGACACTCCGGGACCACGTTCGAAGTGTGGGTGGGATGGGACGCTAAACACACCACTCGGAGACGCGCTCCAGGCAGCGTAACAGACTAACAGGAGGAAAGCCACCGTACGAATGAGGTTAGCGGAAGCGGCAAAAACGTCCCCAGTGACGTCACATGAGTCGTAAGTACTCTGCGGTTGTCGGTGCCCGCAGTCCGGTTTGGTTTGGACCGCGTTTAACCCGGATATTGGTATCTTGAGCTTGGGGAGATACTATAGGAAAGGACGCAGAAAAAAAAAAAAGCATGAATTGAGACTGGTGGACATTGTCTTTACTTTATTTGTGTAGATATCCCGAAGCCGAAGAAGTTTTGAGAAATCTGAAGCTGTCTTTATGTATCCGTTTCTCCGCAATTAAATACTTTTCTTTTTTTCTTTTCTTTTTATAGCAGAGGTAAATTACTCGTCGCCAAACGCTTTTCCCCCCAAATGAAGCGCGGGCGGTTGGGACCAGGTTTTAAAATTTCAGAACTTAATCTGACCTGATTCAAAAGCTATCAGATTTCTTTTTGAAAATTTCAATGGGGACGACCAGCACTATTTATCTACAGGGTGTCACCAAAAAATTTACAGGACTTTTTTACGCAAAAATGAACTAGGCATCGGCGAACGCTCATTTTCCGGCAAAAGGTAGCGCTAGAGGTCCCAAAGTTTCAGCCCGATCCGATACAAAAGTTATGATTTACTGAAAATTTTAATCGAAAAATGGTAGCCGACGGAGTTTTCGAATACATGGGGCTCTATGACACCAGAAACCGAAAACGGCCAAAAATGGGCTCCATTTTCCAATTGAAATTTTCAGGAAATCACTTATAAATTTTGAATAAGGTATAGGATCGGGCTGAAACTTTAGAATCTGGTTGTGACTTCTAGCGCTACCTTTGGGCGGAGAATGAGCTTTCGGCGATGCCTAGTTTATTTTTGCGGTGAAAAAAAAAAAAAAAAAAACTGCAAATCTTTTTTTGTGACAACCTGTACATCTGTTCCCAAACTCCGTCGGCCGCCATTTTCTCATTGAAACTTTCCAAAAATCGCTTATAACTTTTGAATTTGATAATGACAAGTTCTGAAACTTTGGCATTTAGTTCCAACCGCTATTGCTATACGTTTGGGTGATGAATGAGTATTTGTCGGTGTAAAGTTTATTTTATCTGTGAGAAAAACGCCGTTCTCTTTACTCCCAAACATCCGTTGTGTTCTAGACTTTACCTGTTTAGTACCTAAGGTACACTTAACATGAGATGTTTTGAAACATACGCCTTTCCCGCTTTCCCTGCTGTCATGCAGGAGAGGTCTCAAAACAGACTATGTTTTGAATCACTGTCTTAAATTTGTTTGACTGTTGTAATATTTTGCAACGCTGTTTTCACTTGTCTTTCGCTCACCTGTTCGTTTTTCTAAACCTGGCATTCCAAATTGTTTGACTCAAAACAGAACGAATACACTTTTCAACCAAACGACTGTCAACAAAACATGACACCACACTAAAAAGATTTACCCCCTTGAGGGTGTAAAAAGGCCGTTCTAGATACTTACACCAATGGCTGCATCCTTTCAGCGTCCTTCTTTCGAGTAATACACCTTTTTAATCTTACCATAGGGTGCTATTACACCCTATATGAAGATTTCCACCTTTCATTTTTGAAGGGTGTAAAAAGGGCGTGGAAAATAGTACTTAAAGAGATACTTTAACGAAATTTGAAATATACCCGCCGGGTTCAGAAATAGGCTGAATATGATCCACAATATCCCTAAATGACACTCGCACGTTTGTATTTTGAGCCTGATGACTGTATCTTTCGTTATAAACGGCCCACTCTGGCCAGCGCTCGGAGAGCAGCCAGCGTAAAGCACGTCACATCCGCCGCAATCGTGACGTAGTTTGTCTCGGAATGAGCAAAGCTGCGGCGAGGTGATGTCGTCAGGATGCCCTAGCCGTTCCAGCCACCGAAGCGGTTGAAGCAGGCCAGCCATCGGGCCACCGCAAGTAACCGCAAAGCTGCTCTTATGTGAATTTTAAGTGACGGGTTAATCTTCTATAATCTTGTAGAGGGAGAATAGCGACGTCTGAAGCACACAAAAGAGAGTGTGGGGAGTTTCTCCCTCTAAAGGCCGCAGAGCCGTCGGGTTCAAAGACGTCAGGTTCAAAGCATGTATGTATGCTTGGCGAGACGGTTATCGTCGCTACCTGTCAAGTTTTCTAGACGGGACTTACAAACCAGGTTTTAGCGATATCCACCAGGTGCTCTCTGCTAATCGTTTAATTTGTTTTCAAACTTTTTTTCGTGTGTTTCTTAACAATATATCAATGGGTCCGATGTGATGCTGCTCCTTTGAACACGTATAGACCAAAAAATAACTGCCGAAATTTCGTTGTAGTACCCCGTTAACATGAGACGTCTTGGGACATACGCGTCTTCCCTGCTTGCCCTGTCGTCATGCAATGCAGGCCTAAAAACAGACTGTGTTTTGAATCCTTGAGTTTTTTCTGTTGTACTAGCAAAATTTTTAACGCTGTTTTCACTTGATTTGTTTTCCACTCATCCTGTTAGTTTTTCTAAGCCTGGTGCTCAAAATTGTTTTATAAAAAAAAGCGAACAAAATTTTACGCCAAAAGACTGTCAACGAAAACATGGCACCACACTGCACACTAAACAAAGTTACACCCATAAGAATGTAAAAAGGCTTACTTATACTCATGGCTATATCCTTTCAGCGCTTTTATTTCGAGTGATACATATTTTTAATCATAAAATAGGATAATGTTGCACCCTGTTTTAAGATTTACACTTTTTTTTATTTTTGAAGGGTGTAAAAAAAGGTGTGGAAAGGCTGGTGTGGTGAAGACAGGCAAGCACCCCCTTTTCATTTTTGCCGCACTGGCACCACCTTCGATCAACTTGAGCGGAGAGTTTTTTCGTTTTTTTAGCAAATATGTCGAATAATTTTTGCCGGTGTCGATGCTCTCCACATAGAGATAATTCCTTGAACGTATAAAGGGTGTTTCTCAAAACGTGAACCAAGTCGTTCCAGCGAAAAGTGCCCATCGCACAGAAAAACAAAGGATAATGTCGTACTGGTCTCTGGCAAAGGGTCCATTTGGGAAAATGAATAACATTCAGTATAATTAGTTAATAAACTATAGGGTCCGATCGAGAAAAGTAAACCCTACTTTTCGGCCCGCGTAAAACAACTACTCATCGCAGAACGCTCAAACTCTGCCAGAATGTAACCCTAGCGGTCCAAGCAAGATGCCAAAGTTTCAGCCCGATCCGATAACTTAATCAAAAGTTATAAGTTATTTTCTGAAAATTTCAAATGGGAAAATGGCCGCCGACGGAGTTTTTAAACGGGAAAAAATGGGATCCATTTTCCCATTGAAATTTTCAGAAAATCACTTATAACTTTTGATTAAGTTATCGGATTGGGCTGAACCTTTGGCATCTTGCTTGGACCGCTAGGGTTACATTGTGGCGGAGTTTGAGCGTTCTGCGATGGGTAGTTGTTTTACGCGGGCCGAAAAGTAGGGTTTACTTTTCTCGATCGGACCCTGTACTTTCTAGTAGTTAACTTTTTAATTAGTGATATTATAGGTTTGGTTCCAATCAAAAAATTCCTGGAGATAATCGAACGCCACTTGATCAACATATTTTAGAAATATTGATGGCACGTACAGCAATGTACTGCGTTCCAAAAAAAAATGAAAGCCGTTTACAACTCCCTGTAACGCCGAATTAGAGTGCAGTTCTTGAGGAGGAGGAGGAAAGAAGGGTACTGAGGGTCACGTGTTCTGGGGGGGCACGTGACCTGGGGGAGGGGTCACGTGACCTGAGGAGGTCACGCGACCTCGGGGGGGGGGGGGGCACGTGACCTTGGGGATTACGTGACCTTGGGGGGTTACGTGACCTGGGGAGGGGTTGCGTGACCTCAGGGGGTCACGTGACCTAGGGGTGTCACGTGACCTCGGGGGGAGGTCACGTGACTTCGGGGGGGGGGGAGGGGTTACGTGACCTCACGTGACCTGGGGAGGGGTTGCGTGACCTCGGGGGGAGGTCACGTGACCTTGGGGGGGGGTTACGTGACCTCACGGTTACGCCGACGGCGACGGTGACGGTGACGTCGCTCAAGCCGGAAACGGGCAACTAAGAGCTGCGCTCTAAAAACAAAAACAAAAAAAACGCTCAATTTGGACGCGATTGTTTCGGTTTCCAATCGGAGCGCATCACTGCGCCAGCGGTCCTGCCCGGCATGGCCGAGGCGCACAGCTACCGCTTCGACTTTCTTGTAGTCATAGAAGGGAAGGAAGAGTGACGCGCTTGCGTTGCGTGCCTCAGCCACGAGGGGCAGGACCGCTGGCGCAAAGATGCGCTCCGATATGTAGCTGAATTCTAGAAACGCATCCAAATTTCGCGTTTTTTTTAACGCAGTGCAACGCTGCACGTGCCTTATATTGTTTCTAAAATGAGTTGATTTAGTAATTTCCGATGATCCCCAGGAAATTTCTAATTGCCCAAGCAGGCCCCCATATAAATCCACTAATTAAAAAAGGACCGAAAGACACTTTTTGCACAAATATTACTCAACACGTTAAACGTTCTGCAATAACAACAAAAAAATCGGTACTAATAATTTGAGGTGTCTAGTGATCTTCACAGCAAAATGGAACAATCCGCTATCGCGATGCGATAGCGGATTGTTTGACCCTCTTCCGACCACATCGATGTCAAATCTTATCTTGGAATTAGTAATGCTGCTTTAAAAATATCAAGTAAAAAAAATGAAAGACGTTTACAATTCCCTGTAATGCCGAATTAGAGCGCAGCTCTTAAGGAGGAGGAGGGAAGGGTATGGAGAGTAGGGTATCCTCTCCACCTCCTCCCCTCCTCCTTCCGCTCCTCCCGTCCTCCCCCTCCTCTATCCTCCTCCTCCTCCCCTTCTCCTCACCCTCCCTCCTTCCTCCCTCAATACGTCACTCGTGACCCTCGTGACGTCACTCGTGACCTTCGTCGAAGCCTTCCCTCGTGACCTTCGTGACGTCACTCGTGAAGGCCTCGTGAAGGTCACTGTGAAGGTCGTGACCGTCGTCGTCATCTTCACGAGTGACGTTTGAGACGTCACTCATGACGCTAGTGACCCCCGCCATGTCACTCGTGACCCTCGTGACGTCACGTCTCACGTGATTATGGGAAAAGTGTTATAATGCAACGCGCGGTCGCGCCGACGGCGTAGGCAACGCCGCTCAAGCTGGAAACGGGCGCCTAAGAGCTGCGATCTAAAATACAGTACATTTGTTGCATATGGATGACAACGCCGCGGGAAATCAATCTGTCTTAAAATACTGCGAAGTTAGTTTAGACCAGTGCAGTATAATCTTAATTTTCTGGCGTGCATCACAGACACAAATCGAAGTTAAACACAACAGTGGGTTTGCAGGCAGTACGTTTGCTCCGCGTTAAACACAGTCGGCTACCGAAAGCTGTCTGTGTGTGACAATTCCCTCGTGATGCAAATGGTCGCATGGTAGAGAGTGCACCTACCTGCTGCTCGCTAATGGGGACTGTGTTGGTGAGGATGTTAAAGATGACCGCCTGAGAGCACGGGGGTGTGGTCAGGGAACCGTTGTAGCGGTAGTATTCACTCGAAATAGCTGGCAGAAGGTCGTTGAGCACCACTGGGTTGGGAAGTTCCACCCCATTGGCCTCTTCAGTTCGAACGCGGGACAACGCGTCCACAATCGTCTGGAAGTTGGGGTTGTTTTCCCTGGAGATCTGAAATAGACAAAAAGCGATGGGCGGAAGAGCTCTTTCTATATTAACGAAACATTTTAGTTGGCATGTCTTTTAACGCAATTCACAAACAATGAGCCTGTCAAATAGCATTTGGCTACCAGAATGCTGGTTTCAGTCGACGAACATATGAGATGTCTCCCACAAAAATTTCAAGCTTCAAAGGAAGTCCGGTCCCGGGTTGTTTTCTCTGGAGAATAGTGATATGAGATGAAACATGGGCACCTAGGAAGCCTGGTCCAAGCGAGAATTTGAGCATTTTTTTAATCTACATTAATGATCTCCACCATGGCAGCATTTCTGAAGCACGCTTGTTCGCCGATGACTGTGTCAGCTATAGGCTGATTCATTCACGCCATGATCAACTAATCTTGCAGAACGATCTCCAACTTATAATTAAGTAGTGTCATAAATGGCAAATGGCTTTAAACTATAATAAATGTAAATCGCTATCTTTTTCCCGCAGTTTACATGTTCTGTCCTCCTCTTAACACCTTTCTAGCATCCCAGTAACTGCTTGTTCATCGTATAAATATATAGGAATTCATCTGACATGTGACCTGTTATGGACCACTCACATAACACCTGTCATCGTTGATGCTAACCGCACCCTCGGATTTCTTCTCCGTAACCTCAGACAAGCTACATCTCCAGTAAAACAAATAGCTGATACTACCTTGGTCAGAACTAAACTGGAATTCACTTCTTCCATATGGTCACGCATACCTATACCTAACTAACAACCTGGAATCCGTTCAAAGCAGAGCCCTCCGTTTTATTTATTCCGACTATTCCCCTTACGCAAGCATATCAGGATTTCGCCAATAAGCTAATCTTGACACTCTTTCCCACCACCGCAGGGTGTCTCGTCTTTCTCTTCTTCATCGGATCTTTTATTACAACAGTCATCTCAGACAAAGTTTGCTATCGCCTCCTTACCGCATTTTCCCTCGTCTCGACCATTCTTGTAAGCTCCGTCCGATTTCATCGTCAACTGGCACTCACCAAATGTCTATATTTACCATTGGCCATTGACGACGGGAACTCATCGCCTGACGCAATTGTTTCCTTATCGGACACTAAGAAATTTTCTGCAGCCATTGGCTTATTTTTTCTAACCTATAACTAGATTGCAGCGAGTTTTTGTTGATAAATAGTTGTCATTTATTTAAAGTGTTCACTCCCTTGTGTAATGCCCCCCTCCCCCCCCCCCTGGGTCTTCAAGGAATACGAAATGATGATGATGATGATCAATTAGTCACGCAGACTCGCCGCTACTTCCAAAACTTCGAGTTCAGAAATCGAAATGAAAGTTTCTGGCTACTGCGTTTTGAGACAGCGAAGTCCTACGTCTGCGAATTTTATCCGAGACGACTATCAGTCTGGAATGCTACGCTGCTACAATAAGCAAGTATTAAGCCATTAAGCACCTGTGTAGGGTCTTTAATCTCTACGAGTGCCATGTTCCTGCCTAGGCCCAACCAAATACTTCCTCTTCAGAAAATTTTAAGTCTGTAAAAAGACGTTTTCGAATAATAAAAATGTAAAAATATAGATATATATTTTAGTGGTTTGCTAAAAAGACATCGAATTTTTCCACAGTAGGAGTCTTTTGCTTGACAACCACGAGGTCATGTTTGTTGAGACGGGAACTACATAATAGATAAGCATGTTTGCTTTCCTATGAAACTACACATCGAATGGATGCGTTCGAATTTAACCCCATGGTATGCCGCCGAAAAGAAGGTGCCTAAACAACATTACCCTGAGGTGCTGCGATATATGTGTTCCGATAGGGATGTTCGGGGGGGATCGGTGGCCGAGTGGTCTAGCGCACACCAGCTCGGAGCACGTGGAGCGAAAGCTCGCGCTGCAGAACCCAGGGATCCTGGGTTCGAGCCCCACCCCTGCCCGCTTCGATCTGGATGAGCATCGTACCGGCGTGCGGTCGTGTATCACTACTGCGTGATGCACGTTAAAGACCCCAGGCTAGCGGTTGTACCGCACTGGCTAAATTTCTCTCTACAGCTGGGAGACTCGTCGCCCCTGTGAAGCAGACCAAGTTCTAGGCTGTATAAACACACACACAACCCAATTAATTAAATAGGGATGTTCGTGCTGCGCCTTCTGAGATCGCCAGTAAACCATTTTTACGTGCTTTCGATGATAAATTAGAAAAAATCAAGTGCAATTTCCTAGGTTTATAAGGTGAAGATCGCTTAAAGTGAAAACCACTAAAACGAGGAAGGAAAGACAGTGAACATATCAGAAAACAAGAAAACAAGAAGGTCGGCATACCGAGAGTATACCCGCCAGCACTATAATATATATCTATTTTTACGTTCTTCAGACGAACATTGTCCCCGATAAGAACAACGACGCTTGTTTCATATTCTGAGGAAGCAGACTGGGTACCCACCTCAAAAAGAACTGCAACCACCAAGAATCCGTCACGGCGCTTCATCGCTTGGGGAGCGCTTCCGTAATTCTGGTTGAAATGAACCAAATGCATCTGCGAAAGAAACGAAAGGAATGAGCAATTTCAAGTCGTTTTGGCACAAACGCGCAGACGCAAAAGCAACACGGGTTATGCGATGTTGGAATTCACACCTTTCAAAATGAACACACGCCTGTGAGATGGAGATCATGGACTGAACTGCAGGACACATTAATACGCGGCGCCACAGAACGCGTCATCGACTGGTATGTTGGCCACGTCCAGAAAACTGGTCCCTCCATTTCCTCCTGACGACGACATAAAAGTATCATGCTGTCGCCGCGGCCGCAATCCTGGCAGTGTCACAGCAGCTGAGCTCGATTTGGCAGACGCCCCCTTTGCTTCAGGTCGCTCTGCTGGCTTGACAGTCCACGCGGAAGCTTCGGCAACCAGGGCCCGTTTGCTCGAAGCTGGTTAACTAACCGCGGTTAACCGGATTTCCCTACGAGGGGGAATTTTGGGTCACGTGACCGGCAGAGTAACGACGGCGGGGAAACATGGCGGAGCCCCGGTGAGTGAGCACCGCTCTCGCTTTGGAACTAATACGTCGTAGTAGCTGCAGTAGCGGGCGCGTTAGTCAGCAATGAATGGTGCAGGAGGTTTTCGCGTTGCCTTACCTCACTTAAAACGCAAAACATGACTAATGACCTCGCCGCATTTTTTAGATAGACTTTCGACTCTGGCCGTTCCTAAGCCTAAATGAACGCCATAGTTGTCGGCATGGCAACGTCTTTGGAAAGTGGACTGTCTTGACTCAATCGGCCGGGTATTGATAGCACACAAAAGCAGAGAGCGTTCCCATAGACCTTTTGCTAAATTTGAAAAGCACCGAGGTGCATGCTACGGGTGTAGTTACACGCGCTGCACCTGCTGGTGTCTGCAGTAATAACTGTTCTGAAGCAAAAAGCCTAAGACAAATTTTGCCGTGCACGCGCGTTCGTCAAAGATTTATTATGATTATTTACTTTAAATCTTTTATAAGTGGAAGGCCAGCGCGCGCGGATCGTAGAATTACACTTCCAGCGTTCTTCTCGATGTTCGGGTTATTTACGAATAGGTCAGTTTTCAGTGGAGCCGAATTACAGGTTTTTCAATTTATGACGGTGTTATATACAGTTCTTACATGCTGGCCAATTATGCTACCGGTGTACCGCCCGCCTTTCACTGCTTACTTCTTTCTCATCGTTTCTAGGACTCGACTTCGTCGTCCTTTTTCGAACTCGGAAGGATATTTCAACCCAAGCTTTTCTTCACTTCATACAGCCAAATATTCAGAAGATTTCCAAACAAGGGTTAATTTAGTTTTACCTTGCCGATTATTTGTACCACGAGCAATAAAAATTGTTTCTTAAGCTCAAATGTGCGTCGCGAAAACAAGGCAGCGGGCATTTTTTGAGGCCCCCCTTTTCGGGAACCTTTCCACGGAAGCCACGTATATTAGATACAGCCAGTAGGTGACACCAGCTACCACCCCATAATAAAACACGGAGCTACCGCTCATCCAGCCGTCGTCAAATTTGGCTAGGTACTTGTAGGTACCTAGTAGGGAAGGGCGGTTAACTTTTAACCGCGGCTAAAGTTAACCGGCTTCGAGCAAACGGGCCCAGAAGTCGGGACGCCGCGACCACGACGATGACGACACTCGCTTTCGCTCGTACTTTTTGTAGGAACGTCTACAACCAACCTGACGTGCCCGGCTCCTGCGACGCCGTTTGCTGCCACTTTAGAACCACTTTCGGTGCATGGGCGGGATAGGACGGTAAGCGGACCGATCCAAGACGCGTTCAATGCACCATACTATGCGGGGCGCAAGTTAGTCTGCATCATTTCCAGGGGTTGTGGTGACGTTAGAACACCTAGCTCTGATTGGCTGTGATTGAAGAATAAAGGGTAGACCTCAAGGCAGCTTGCTTTGAGGTCTACCCACTATCCTTCAATCGGAGCCAATCAGACCTCGGAGTTCTAACGTCACCACAACTCCTGCAAAAGAAGCAGACGAACTTGCACTCCACGTTAGCAGACACCGACAGCTCAAGAAACGCAGGACGTGGCAAGCCCCAAGCATCTCATTATCGCAGCGTGGCCAATGAGGTCGCGGCATTAACCGATAAGAACACGGGAGAACCAATCACGAAGCAGGATAAGCCACGTCCTGCCTTTCTTAAGCTGGCGGTGACTAAGAGGGGCCACTTTGCGGAGCGGAAGTTCGTCTGCTTCTTTTGGGGGGGGGTTGTTGAGACGTCAGATTGCCGAGCTTTGATTGGCTTAGATCGAAGGTTAGTGGGTAGACCTCAGCTAGCATCGAGGTCTACCCACTATCCTTCCAATCGGAGCCAATCATAGCTCGGCGTTCTGACGTTACTGCAGCTTCTCCAATAGAAGGAGACGAACTTGCTCTCCGCATACACATACTTTCGCGTTCCAATCGTCGTGCAATCCTAATGGCAAAAAAAAAAAAAAAGACAACCGTTTGCTTGTTTGGTTCTTGAGACTGCATGGCCTCTGGAGGACGGTATATACAGCTCGTGTCTCTCCGCTGGTGAAACTGGTTAACGGCAGATCGAACATTGGTGTTGAATGGCACAACGAAAAGTACGAAAACCTAGAAATGGTAGGGCAGCGGACAACCTGGAACTTACTATAGATCTTTACAGCGCTTATCACACAGGAGAAAAATGCTGAGTCACGGGGCTGTGGACGCATGCGCGTCGTCTCATATTCCGTTGAAAAGAGAGCTACTGCGCACGCTCAGAACGCTCTCAACAGCCAAGTAGACAAAGATGGCAGCCCACAGAAGGCGATTATTGGAAAGGTTTATAGGACGATTGCAAGCAGGGCATCTAACGGCCGCCATGCCTCTGCTCGTGCCGAAGAGTACATTCAACTGGCCATATGCGAAACTGTTTGAAAGTATGTCAATACTCTGTGCGCTGCCATCGTTGTTGCGTCGAGATTCCTCTCTTGTTTATCAATTTCGTAGCGTTGTCAGTAACAATCGAGGCCCACATGCTCACCGTCATCGATCCTCACCCACACCTGCGAGCTAATAGCGTTGTTTGACGAGCGCCCTTCTTGCGCATGTATACGCGCTCGTCGCCCCACCGGTCGCAGGTTTCTCGCCGCAGCCAACATAGCGCACGTACACTTCAGCTCGATATCTGGCTTTGAATGCCGGCAAAAGCACGGGCGCAGGCGCCTGGTTTTCGAAAGCGCTTTCTCTGCGTGAGTGCTTGTGCGAGCGAAGTACTCTTCAGAACTACGCTTTCGCGCCCTGGCCTTTGACAACGCAGGGGCTAACTGGTGAGACGGAGCATGCCCTTCGGCTCCCCACTAGATAGCGCTGTGCATTTCGCATATGGTCTATTACAAGCTTGTCATAGCTACGTTCACGCGCTCTGCACGTGCTTGCAAGCATGGGGCACCAGTCGGGCGACATGCTTGCAATTGTCTATTTACTCGGGGGTAACTTCCTATGGTCATTGGGAAGAAGTGAATAGTGTGCCTGCGCAACCTCCATTGGTGCTCAAGGTGCGCGATCTGAGGAGGGCCTGTGGCTTTGAATGGATTGTCCCACAAAATCGTGGGCGACCAAAATCGTCGCTCTGTCGTCGGTCTTTCGAGACTGGCTAAGATTTCACTTAGACATCTTTAGTAAGATTTAGTCTGACGTAGTCGAGGCAAGTAAGGATAATATCAAAGATCAACTTTGACACATGTTGTTGTCGAGCAAACAATTATTACAGGCATCTACCGCGCTTTTGCTACCCGCATATTCAAACTCCTCGTTCTTAACTGATGATAGGCAGCCAGAGTTACATCATCGATTGAAATCGTTGCCGTGACGTCACCGGCAAGAACTAGTGTTAGAGGGTGCCACTTAAACATCTCGCCGTTAGTTTGTCTCTCGTCCCCAACGCAGATGGGTGTGCCTTTGAATGTTTCCAATAGAGGTAATGCTATCGGAAGGGGTCATTCTTTGCGACGAACGTGAGCATAAAGCGTTGGTCTTTAACCTACAACCCTGCCATGTTCACACGACCCGCTCATTGGTGGCCTCTAACCGTCCTCAAACAAAGATGCATGTTGCTTCTTAAGTGATCCTTCAACCTTCCCAACCATCTATTCTAACACAAAGAAACCAGCCAGGACGATCACCCAGGTTAATTCTTGTCTACCTGTTCTTTCCTCTCTGTCTTCTTCAGCTGATGCTGTATAAGAAGACAGTGTTTCCCTAACTCCCTTTTTTCAACAGCACGTACACGCCGCGACACTGTTAGCCCGAACAAGCAATCACCAGTTGTAAAGCATGAACTGCTTTTAACGATACCCCAATCCCTAAATTTTCCTCGTCCGTCCGTGCATATTCCGCTACATTTAGCTGGGACGTCACGTGACCTAACGTCACTTGATTTATACGCCAAGCGGGGAAATCGACATCGCGTTTTCTATACGTAAATTCAGTTTGCCCGCTAAGTTTAGCACGGGTTTTCCAGCGAAATTTAGCGGGGAAATTAACGTCACGTGACTTATACAATTCAGTTTCTCCGCTAAATATAGCGGGGAAAATATGACCTAAAGACCAATCCAGTTTTCTCGCTATATTTAGTGGGAAAAATTGACGTCACGCTACCTGATGTCGCGTCACATATACAATTCAAGGCTCGTTCACACAGTTGCGTTCGGAGCGACCACTACGCTTACGAACGAATGCAACCGAGTGGAACGACGAGTTACCATAGCAAGGAAGCGCCAAACGGTCGTTTCGTTCGTGTTCGTTCGCAGCGGAAGGAGTTGAGCCGGGCTGAACTTTTTCGTTACGTTCGGGAACGACGGGAGCGACAGACCAATCACAAGTCGAGGAGAGCTCGGTCGCGCGCGTTGCATGCCGGTCGTACCAGGCTCCTTCTGTCTGCGAACATGGCGTCGGTGGTGATCGTCGCTGTGGACGGCGTGGAGGAAACTCGTCGTTCCGCGTAAATGCGCTATCCTTGACTGTGAATTTTCGTCGCGTGTCGTTATAACCCAGCACGTACTAGAAGGGAAGATGCACCTACTCGTGCGGCGATCTCGTGGCGGCACTCTCAAGACAGTAGAAACGCCCGTGCCGTCGTGTTTGTTCACTTCGACTACAGTGGTGCTTTCTTAGCATTTATGTCTTCGAACATCACCCAAATTTCTTCTTCAGCGCATTTCATGCGTGTGCTCAAGTTGAAGGTATTACTGGTGCGTACCGTATAAAGGTAGCAAATTTTCACGTGTTTTCATCACCCGAGGAAGGTGATTAGCGTTAGCAATCCTGAACGCGTTCGCAGCGTCTCGCTCCCAACGTCTATCTGATCACAAAATTATATGTCTACGTTGCTATATCGCTGCTAAGATTACATCGCTTTTTATAATCGTAGAAAAGGCGTGTGGCGGGATTTGTACTGTTGGCAAAGTCGTGTATTAAAAGTCGTGATCGTGCAAGACGGCGTACTGCATCTTTCTTTTTTCCTTTTTTTAACGCGCTACCCTGCAAGCGCATCCTGAGAAATAAAAAAAAAAATAAAGTTTGTGGTCATAGAAGACGGTCTGTCTATTTTCTGTTACGCAAGTAAGTGGCAGCGCGTCCCCTTCTTTTTAGAGGCACCGCTGAAACAGCTGACGGCGGCGGAGAGGCGGTCGCCGTGCTGCCGACGCACTGCGCTTGTTGCAGGCTGTAGGGTTGACGGAGTGTACGCGCGGCGCAGAGCGGTCGTTCCAGTCACAACGGATGCAGTCGTGGATAACGGGTTCGTGTCAGAACTCTAAACCAGCCTTTACACAGCTATTGTAGGCGCAGAGCAGATCTTCGTGACTGTACGCCGTAGCCGAAACCTCCGGCTGCTCCGGTGGACCTCGCGTCGGGCAGGGAACCGTCCGCCATGGTTGTAAGCGTACCTGGGTTGATTACTATTGGCTAGGACCAAGAGCTGAAGCTCGTTTCTCATTGGCTGTTGATTCGTGTGGTTGCATCCGGTTGCATGTGTGTGTACACGTCGCGCACAGTTGTCGTTGAAGTCGCAGCGGTTGCATTCGTTCGTAAGCATATTGGTCGCTCTTAACGCAACTGTGTGAACGGGCCTTCAGTTTCATCGCAAATTTTTGGGCAAATATACGTCACGTGACACACCACATCCCTCTTCCTATCCCACTCCTCACTTACATTTCCCTCTCTTGCCCCTCAATCTTTCCCCTTACCCCTTCCTTCCCTTCCTTTCTCTCCCCTCCTTCCTCCCTCCCCTCCCTCCCTCGCACCTCTCTCCCCTTTCCTCTCCCTCCTCATCCGCCCTTTCCCCCCGCTCCCTCCTTCCTCTCCCTCTCCCCCTCCTTACCCCCTTCTACAGTGCTCTCCTTCTACAGTATTGAATGACTGTGATAAGAACTCCTATAACGGTGAAAAGTGCTCACTTGGGTAAGTAATAAATTTGGAAGCCCGCCAGTACCCTTTCGAAGTAAAAGACAAAAAGCACCATGTCCACTATCGGAGTGTCCGCTATCGCGCAGTGTCCACTCTCGCAGCTTCTGGATCGGCCTCACTGCATACAGCAGAGGAGTGGTGCGTGCTCACCTCCAAGGGGTACGTGGTCCCGCTGAAGGTGTGCTCGGATCCCCGGCTCGAGTTAGCTCCCCAGTGGAAGTGAAGCTGGGCGAACTGGTATTTCCCGCTCAGAGAGTTGCCCTCCACGTACACCTCGCGGTCGGGAGTGCCAGACACCATCGCTGCGGGAAAGAGAAACCGCTCAAGCTTCTTCGTTCACACTGGAGGTTGAACCGCACCCACAGTGAGGCTACCAACGCGGTCGCTTAGATCCAGATTAATTTCAAGCGTAGTTGACAACAACAGCACGTAGATCTTTGTATCGGTTGCAGTACCACGCAGTGAAGATCGAATAGCCCTCAAACGATCCCCGAGTATTTAGGGACCAGACAACAAAGAGATGCATGAGTCCCAGGTAGCACCGTAGTCTGAACTTTGACGATAGCAGCTTAAGAGCGACACTGCGTGGATAATTCAGTCTTATACAAGATACCCGACAAAGTGTTCAAGATAAGTCACTAAATATATGTTTCATTCAGTATTTAGAATACTACTCAAATTACTTTCCCAGCAAAACATTTTGAGCAGAGTTACTTAGGAATGTAATTCAAATACGTTCAGAGATGCTTCCTATTTGTGTAATTAATAACAGCTTCATTGACACCAGACTGCTTTATTTGCAAGTAACAGGGGCAAACAAAATAAAATCGCAGTTCTATCTTATGCAGTCCCAGTATAAGAGGTAGCATCACTAGTGCATGCTACATTATTATATTTTTAGGACAAATGAACAAAAAGATGCCACTCTGCTTAGAACCACATCGCTGAAAATCACATCTTGTGGTTTTATATTGCGCACCTTGGCCGCACTGTTTTACAAAGCGCTGTAGTACGGGGCTCATGTTAAGCAAATTTGGAATACGCAGAAGAATGACTTCGCCTTCCTTAAGTACGTTACCCTAACGCTGCATTTAGATATGACTAAACTTCGATAAGAAGTCCTCAAGGGGACATAGAAAAGCACCGCCATCTTTCTGGCGGTTGTCTGGTGTGGTATTTTTACCCCATACTCCGCTCTATAAGTGCGTCCAGAAAAGCGTCCAGCTTTAAGAGGACTCTTCGATTGTGTTTGAGAGCTCATCCTGCTCGTAGCTTCCTTTCCTTCCTTGTCTATATCCTCGTCGAGCTGTCATCGTTCCTTTACAGACAGCGTTCCCGAGAGTGCCAGACTGGCGAAAGAAATCGTCATTCATGCCATAGGCTTATTCAAACTTGAAAACGTAAACAATAGAACAACTTGCGTCTTTCTTCGGTATAACCTCCTCATTTCCTTTTCTATACAATTTTGATGGCATTTTCAGTGCACCTTTGGTCTAGGCGTTTTTAGCTGTTCAGTGTTCGGTCGTCTCCGATTCAAGCTGGCAATCGGTTCAACTTTGCGCTGGGGTGTGCCGATTCCTATTCCCGTAAAATAATCCCGCCACAGATCTTCCTAAAGATTAAAAAAGTGTATTTGAAATAACCAATAAAATACTAAAAAATATAATTAAGATAGAGTAGCAAATATTTTAGATCAAATCTATTTGCAAAGTACCAAATTTTTACCAAACATATTTGAAATGTACGGTATCTTAAATAGAGTATTTGAGAAAGGCACAAGCCTCGGCTAATTATAGCAGCGTTTGTTACTTCGTGATTTGTTCTCAATTTTCATGATGGGATTTATGCGTAGTTTCGCCCGGTGATTGTTCAGCGGTCAGTATATTTAATTAACCCGATTGATTACAGTGATCTCGGGTGCTTTTACATGGCGTGAATTCGATTGTTTATCCAGAGTTTCCAACGTTAGCGTCATCACTCATATCGCCCTCTGCAGATGCCCACAGATACCCAGAAGCCTTGTCCGCCTTTTTATGGCTGTCCAAGGCGTTTTAGGGGCGAAACTCCTTAGGGTCTAGTCATGTCCGTCCGGCGTCCGTGCTCACATCGATCTTGCTGGTGCTCGTGCTCGTGATCGGGCTCGTGAGCTCACGTGCTCGTGTAGGGCAAAAAAAAATTATGGTAAAAAAAAAAAATGTTTGCGCAGTGGACAGGATTCGAACTTGTGCGGGGAGACCCCAATGGACTTCTAGTCCATCGCCTTAACCACTCGGCCACGACTACGGGACGACTAGGGGGCTCTAAGATGTGTTAGTAACTTAAGAGCTGGGGTTACTATATCGCGTTAAACTTTGCATGTATTGGCTCAACGTTTATAGACGAGAGGGCGCTGCGATCAAGTGCTCAAATGCGTATATAACCATGTTCCATACCACACATTCTTTTTCTGACATGGTTGAAAACGAACGAAAGGCTCGGCATGCTGCGGCTCAACGTCTACGCAGACAAGCACCACCAGAGCTTCGCTCCTATCAACATCATTCACCACGTGGAGATGCGGTTAATTTTTTCTTTAGAGTTTTACGATGCCTTAATGCTCTCGCTTTTCGGCTCATCTTATTCCTAGAGGAATTATTCAGTCGTGAATCATTCAGTCCTTGAAGAAGGTTTCGCTCTTGGGGGACTCAACCGAAACCTTTGCGGGTCGGGTTTCTGAGGCGTGTCCCTTACAGGCGACGAGGGTCCCCAAGGTGGACGACCTCGCCTTGTTTGTTAAGGCACAACTGTGCGAAGAGCTGGAAGTATATATGTGTCGCGTTGCCTCCCGATGTCAAAATTACATGGCGATGCGCCCCGCAAGATTGCGACATTCAGGGTTGCGACATCGGTGAATAAATTTAGGATTGCTCGCTTCACGGACGAAAACATCGGTTCCTTTACGTTATTTTCTTGAGCTCCGTAAAATAGAATTTAAAAAAAAAATATCCAAATTATTTAATGTTACAGCGATGCGCGAGGCGCCGTGTTCTACACGAGTCGCAACGGTTAAAGTTCGACACTGAGTGCCGAAACCATCTTCCACGATGGCAGCCTAAAAATCAACAAGTAATTAAAACAGACACGTCTCGCTAACGTCATTTTTGACAGGCGTATAAGGCAGGCCTTTGAGGCGGCATTGGGCTGCTAGGTATGGCAAAGATATGTACGCTCCCATTTCTGCCAAATTGAAAAACGTCAATTCGAAGGTGCGAAATATTCGAAAAAGTAGTTCAGTCAAGTCATTCGGCACTGGGTAGAACAGGAAATGAGTGGAGTACTGAATACTCATTTCTAAAAAAAATTGAATACATTAATAATACGCGTAAAAGCAACTATTTACTTTCAGGTACTGTTAAGGTAACGGGAGATGCTCACGTTACAATTTTTTTCTACAATTTAGTTGGACAACTAATTCAGAACAATCGAATATAAAAACGTCATTACTAAAACGCTCCAGATGATCGCATTACAGGTGTTTCGCTAAAACTTGTGTCCCCGACAGCTTGCCCTTTGCCGAACAAACACGGGAATATTAGAGACGACATGATATGCATTTGGAGATTGCCTAACAAAAACAAGTGAAGTTCTTAATATTTAACACTATTCCCTCTTCCCGAAAGAAATTGAGGAAGTACCTTGCGAGTAACTTAACATGTGAGCAGTGGCGTCACTAGGGGAAGAGGAAAGAGGAGGCGGGGGGGGGGGGGGAGGGGGGGGGGGGGGGGGGCGGACCGCCTCGAGTGCAGCGCTCAGGGGGGTGCAGCTAGGCAGTGAAAGAGGGGTCGCGGCGGGCCACCACCCGGGGTGCCGCTGACCGTAGTGACGCCACTGGATGTGAATGTAAGTTACTTTAAAAATAAAACATTTAGATTAAAGTATTAAATACTGACTCTTGAAACCATCTGTAAGATGTCATATTACTGACCATGGTATTTAAGATAAAGTAACTTGATCGGAGTACTTAAGTAATGCACAAGTGACTGACTCAAACCGTCGGGCATCACTTAGAGGCGCGAAGGCCTGCCTGGCGTGCCATCTGCGGAGAAGAAAGTGCGACATCTCTCAGTGACAGTACATCATACAAGAAACAGTGTAGGGACTAAGTCAGAGGTCTGTTCCTTTCCTGTATAACGGTCATACAAAAACTGTCTTCGGACTTGTCCGAGTCGTATGCATGAGGCAATCATGCTTGGTGCGTCAGATAATTTTTTTCATCTTGTCTGCACCGGACACTGTGTCTTGTATGGTCTCTCTATATGGGCAATGTGACTCAAGACAACACAAAACTGCTTTGTTTAGTCATCACGAAAATGAGTCGGTGCAGACATTCTACCCCATAGGTCTTGGAAGCACAAATGTCCGGGTGGAAGCACGAAACAAATAATCGACGCTCGGTCCTACCTGTGTGGCCGTTGTTGACGATGATGGGACTCTTGAGCGCCCTGTGGTAGTTGTTGAACCTCAGCGGCCCCATGTTGCCGTCGTAGTCCGTGTACCGTTCGCTGATGTCCACGGGCGACTGGTACTTGCCGCCGCACTCATTGGGAGTGGAAGATCCGAGGTCTAGGTTTGGCCAGAAGTACGGACCTGCAAGGCAAACTCTCAGCTGCCGTTGAAGTGACGAGACCAACTCTGTGGCCGGGGGTGCGTATTTCTAAACGGTAGGCGATACGCGGCATGGCAACGCCGCTCGCACCGGATTGGCTCCTCCTCAAAGAGGACGCTGTGTTGTCATACATAGCAACGGGCGGATGCTGCACCGGCCGGCAGTGGGCACCTTGCGCGTGTATCACTGGAGCGCGTTGTAACCGATACGCGAGCGGCGTCGCCGTGCCGTGTATCGCCTACCGTATACCAGTGATGGGATTGCTGCGCCAAACGTTTACCAAACCTCCCTCCCCGCGAATGCTACGCCCACTTGCATGCAGGGTACCAGCCAGGGCGCTATCCTTACGAGTGTATATGACAGGGCTGCGCAACTACAAAAACGGCGAGGGCCAAACAGAATTCCACTTAAATCCTCACAGGCCGCTGCTGAAAAAAATTGCTCTGACTTGTTGTCGCCGACGGTCGAGAATCATGAGGGCTCGGGTCGGTTTTCTTAACGTATTGAAGAATGTTTTACCAAACAAGGAATAATACAGGTGATTCGGTAATTTCGAATATATTCTAAAAAGTGGCATGAGGACTCGTGAGTGTAAAGCGCTTTATGATTGAGAGTTTATCCGAGAAGTTCTATATTCCGGAGTATACCGATAGGGAGGATTCAGGCGCATCCAATTTTATCTCACTACAACGACACTCTGCCTCTGCTGAAAAAAGTGGATAATTATTCTGGTCAGCAACTCCGACAAAGGCGTTTCGATTTTGGGGGATACAGCGTTCCTGTCCGATTACCCATTTCTCTGCAAGTACCGAGCACGCGCGTTGTGGAACAACCAAAAGAGTTAACAAATGGCGTCAAATTGGAAGCAATATATTCGCGAATATCTAACGTTTGGATCAGCACACATGAAAACTTGCGCTGCTCCCTTTGGCACAACGACACCGTGTTTCCAGCACTTTCATGTGTGCGCAATTGACAAAAACAGACCAATGTTGTTTTTTTTTTTCTTTTTGTAGGTACTAAAAATCTGTGAACAATTCTATGGTGCGCGATAAAATAAGGGCATCTCCTCCTAAACCAATTTAGTACCAGCTTTTTAGTGAAACTGAGTTCGGCGCTTTTTTGGCAAGTGACCTAAATTTTAAGTGGCACTGCGGGCCGCATGTGAACGTATGTTGTGAGGCCCTGGTCCACGAGGAGGCCACATGAGGCCGTTCTGTCGTAGCTTTACCGAGCCCATGAAAGGGCGTCTCGTGACCCTAAGGTCTTGATTTGAACGGTTTCACGAGCCCTGCGTATTTCCTATACCCTGCAGTCTATAGGTTAATAAAAACGGTATAGTACCGGGCGCTATAGTCGGCCACACGAAAAGAATTCGGGGGAGCTATCCTCCCATCCCTTCCCACTTTAGCAGAGCGAACGCTGAAGAAGAGGCGACCTTCTCTCCAGCGTCCGCTCTGCTAAAGTGGAGAGAGGCGCGAGGAGCTTCTCCGAAACTCTTAACTTTTCACTGACTAGGGAAAGAGTGAGGTACCCTTGACAGACCACAAAAAGGGTCTGTTTAATGTCTGCTGGAGGATTGAAAGCTATGCGAAACGCAAGTTCGTCTGCTTCTCGAACAAGGCTTGCGATGATGTCAGAACGCCATGCTCTTATTGGCTGATAAAAAAAAATAAAATAAAGGGTAGACCTTAAGGAGGAGGCATTTAGCATCGAGGTCTACCCACACTATCCTTTCAATCGAAGCCAACCAGAGCTCGGCTTCGTTCTGACGTCACCGCTATTCCTGCGCAAGAAGCAGACGACTTACTCTCCACAAACTCCGTCTCACTTCAAGACCGACTGCAACCGACACCGTATACGGTTCAGTGGAGCCAATCAAGCAGCCCCAAAAGTGCATCGTCAGGGCGCTCGTCGCTTTTGTGCGTTTGTCATCGCCGGCTAAACCAATATCAGGCACAGAAAAGCGCAGGATCACGGGTCATTCGCTGTGCGAGGATGCACTTTTTTTTGCGCCGCTAGATTGGCTCCGTTGAATCGTATAGACCAACTCGACTCACTGACGTCACACGCCACTGCGGTGGCGCTGCTGTCGGTACTGCGCATGCGCAAATGCTTCACTCCTCCCGAATTTGGTTTCTGCGCACGCGCAGTGCCCACACCTCATGATGTGGGCAGAGCGGGCTCCTTTGGAAACACTGTGTTGGTGTATAGTGTCGACTGCAGTCGGACGTGGAACGAAGCGGAGCACAGGTGTGCCTCCATCAGCTGCGACGCAGGGATACCACCGAGATCGCGTCCGACCGTCAGTTTACCACAACAATGACGAAGGCGGGGCGTGCCACTGTTTGCTCCGTCGGCGAGGCTAATTTACTTGGCCAGCTGGCGGGAGCACCTGTGCGTGCAAACAACGCGAGGACAAGCGAGCGATATTCTTATCCATCTAGAGAATTGTACGCGATGTACTGCAGTCAGAAACGGAGTTCGGATTCTGCCAGAAGCGCTCAAGTCGTCGAATTCTTTTTCGCCTGATTACTAAGTTATGTTAAACGAACGGGCCGTGCAAACACATCCCATTTTTTTTTCTTTTTCTTTTTCTTTTTTTTTTTTTTGCGTGGAAACTCGTTTAGTGGTTTTTCTCTCCATTCCGTCTCAACCAATGAAATTTTTTGCTTAGCTCTTTCACGCTATAATGCAATGATTAATTCGCCGTTCCTTAATGCTTACTATTTTCTCGACCACTGTTATATGCTCAAAGTCTTATCCGGGAAAAAACACAATTTCCCACACTCGTATCGAGGGAATAGGGAATTCCACTAAACGAGCGCAATATTGTTATCACAGTGACGGTTCCATCACCAGTACAGATACTCGCTTAATGCTAATGCATTAGTTAAAAAATCTGTTCAGCATTAGATTTGTCAGCCGAGACGATAGGGTTAAAATACTCTCAGGTTCACACGCTGATTCTGAAAAAAAAAAAGGTCTCTGGGATATTACCTTCATTATTTTACATGTGATCTTTTTGTCCACTTGCATGACTTAAGATCGCACTCTACCTATGCGAAGAACAAGTCGCATGCTTCTTGAGCAAAAAATTATGGTGACGTCAGAACAACACCGAGCTATGATTGTTTTTGATTGAAAAAGTAGTGGATAGTCCACAACGCTAGATGTCCTGAGGTCTACCCACTATTTTGTCTTTCTTCAGTCAGCCAATAAGAGCTCGGCGTTCTGTCCTCATCGCCACCCTTGTGCAAGAAGCAGACGAACTTGCCTCCGCATAGGCAGAGAATAATCGAAGTGATTAACACTTTAGTCATCAGGCGTAATAAAGTCTTCCCCTGATTTATATGCATGGCTCTTGTTCTCGAACAAGCTCGTATAATGCTACGGGGCATATACAGGGTGTTTGACTTTCATTTCGTTTAGTTTATAAATCCTTAAGGACCCCAACAGGGACACCACAGTGGCATGCGCGTTTTCGTATCGTCTGCCTTGCGCCTGTTGCACGCGTGGTAACTTTAGCGCACCCCCCGCGCTTCCCACGTGCTTTTAGTCCACTAATTAAAAAGTTAATTAACAGCTGTTAGTTAAGCATGTGACTTATCGCGACTTTTGTCCCACTATATTATGTACCCCCGGCCATATAGCCCACCTGCACCAACCGCGTTAGAGATCGTTTCACGGCTTTGTTTAACCAAAGCTGTTCAAATTAAAATAAAACATCCTGTACGCAGTATAAAACCAATTACGGCGCATTACCCAACTTTCCCCGGAATGCCTTAATATTATTCCCCAGTACATTATTGCTCGCTCCGGGAACAGAACTGTATGCATATTGAGATTATTTTGTCATTGACGTTGTCACATTTCTAGAGAATTGCGTTCGTATGGAGATATTCGGTGATGAAGTCATCCGCCACTTACCAGTTTCGCCAATGTAGGACCAGTGGGTAGCGTAGGAACCTGGGCAAAAAGAAGAAACAAAATGATCATCCAATACTTTGTTTTATGTAAGAAAATAGCATACTCGGACAAGTGAAGAGTCTTTCTGTGTTCAGTTACCAGCGAGACATATTTATTAATCCAAACTTTAAGGAACGTAAGTAGATGCAGCTCTGACATTACCCGCAAAAGCGCGTTCTAACTCAAACAAGCAAGCCCCCGGAATATGCATACCTCTCAGCTATTAGAAGCACGAATATCCCACAATACTTTAGCAGGTTAGCATGAAAATCTCAGATTCTACCTAAGCATGTGCTGATTCTAAGCATCAGAAGAAAAGAACATCGCACCGCACGACAAAAAGTTGACTTTCAGTATAGGTGCGTGGGTGTGGTGTTGCTGAAAGAAAGGTGTTTCCGCAAACTTGAGAAACGAGCAATTACTTTCGGTTATTTGACATACAGGCCCCTCTCGGGACACCTTCCGGACAAAAACAATAAAGCTAGTTGTCAAAAGCGCAGCAGACAAAATGTTTACGCATGTGCAAAGACATGCACAGGCACGCAGATAGACACATGTATAGAAGACCCGGACTCTCACGTTCAATATCGACATTAGGTAAGACAAAATCAGTAATGGAAGCGACATTTGACCTTTTGTAGCACGTCCTGTAGCAGGCAAAATATTGGTTTGGAGCAGCCACTGACGCTTTTGGAGCAGATGCCAACATCTGTTAACACATCACTTGAGAATTAAGTGATTAGATCTCTAAATGAGTTTATTTATAATAGTGATCAAGAGTTCCTCTCTGATACTCGAGCATATTACTTATTACCGCTTGTGCTAAGAATAGATAGGGCGTAAAAGTAACACAGTATTTTAAAATAAGGCTCTAGTCAGAGTATAGGCTTCATTTACGATGGGTATTAACAAATGGTTGAAAAGTGAATCATAGCTCAACATTTCACTGGAATAAATCCACTCTCGCCCCTCTATTTTACACTCGGTGGTTTCTTTAGCCCGTAAAAATAATTTCTGTAAAATTCCAGAAAAAATTAGCATATCCGCTAACACGTCTACCAATAAAAATGCACCCCCCAAGTTTTACCAACCTGCCAAACTCGAGACTCTAATATCGTAAACTGCAAAAACAACCACCCAAAAATATTATTAAAGCCTACAGTCGCGCTTTGAATTTGACGCTGCTATTTAGCGGCGTAGGAACCAGTTAGGTCAAAGTTCGCTGCTCTTTCGATCGACAGCTGTACAGGAACTACCGTGACTATCGTATTTATTCAAATATATATATATAAACTCGTCTTTGCTTCTCTCTTTCTCTCTCTCTCTCTCTGTATCCCTACTGTGTTACTTTTTTTTTAAATTAGAGATCGATTTACAATTAGGTCATTTACCTATTTACCTATCATTTACCCGTAATAATCCTGAGCATAATTTGCGTGCCTATCGCGGTAAGCCAGGCGTTCCCCCGGGTCAGCCACTGCTCCTTGCACACCAGTGCAAAGCAGTGAAGCTCGACGCGCGGCCGCTGGTGAAAGGTTGTGAAAGGTGACGCTGGGCGGCGCACCGCCCGCGTCAGTGTACCGGGCGCACGGTACACTGAAGTCACGGAACGTAGGCAACGTGGCAGACATGCTAATCAAGTGATCTCATCAGGAGTACGAGGCCCTGGTCCTGCTTTATCACAGTAGCCGCAATCAGCAACCCTACTATTCTGTAAAGCTTTCTCCGGACTCCAAGTTCCTGACATCGACGACATTGTTTGAAAATTTAGACGATGTCGGCAATCAACCACCCAGCGCATCAACCTGCTAGAGCGGTTGATGCCCAGCATCGACGGCTCTGGCCGGTTGATTCGCAGCGTCAAACTGCGACATCGTGGCATTTGTCACCTCCTTGTGCGTGTTGCTTCATCGGCTTAACCAATCGAATGCAGCGAATATCCCGTGACTTGCACTTTTAGCATGTGTCTTTGTGGTAGTATGCGTTCGAGCCTTCGACTGTGCTCTGACCTAAGACAAAACAAACCATGTGGTCAGTAAGGACGCTGTGGAATTCATATTTGTACACTTTTTCTTTCCTTCTACCTCTCTGAATCGACCAATGATAAAATATATATTTTCTCGCTTTAAGCCTCTCTGGGCGAAGGTGTAGTCTAATTCTTAACAAAAGTGGCATTTTGGCGCAAGATGTAGCAGACTTTCGTTCACGAACCAATATGGCGCAAATGCCGCAGCACTTCCATCACTACTGGTTTGCTGAAGAGCGTATGCAGTAAACATGTTTGGAGCACATTTTTCACCCTCGTTCCATTCGTCCCAGTGAACATGTGGTTTATCTATAATAGGCACTTTTGACGTTAGTAAACAATTAATTCAGCACGTTCTCACATGCACGTCTAGAACATAAGAAAAGAGCTTTGAAGCAAATTGGAAAGTAAGACAAACACACCTAAAATGTTTCTATATAGTTCTAAAACAAAACACAGTTCAATTCAAATCTGTGTGCGCAGCATACCACTAAAATTGATATATGAGTTTTTTTCTTCTGCCAAATGGGCCTATCTTTTGTATTTTTGCATTGTCTCGTACAGGCCTTTTCAGCATATTTGTTATGTATTATTTGTTTCATTGTTTAAATTTCAAATTTCACCCATCATGTATGCTCTTCGAGGCACTTGTCAAGTATAACAGTAAATAATAAATGACAAAATACATTAATTACTTTGTGCAGTGCGCCTAATTTAAGAAATCTAAAAAAGAGGGGCATTTTATCTTTATTCAAGCGTTTAGCTTCGACACTCGCCATTTGCTTCTCAGGAGCAAACCGACATTCGTCTTAAAACCACGTAATCTGCGTTTAAATGAGCAAAGGTTGAACTAAAGCTGAAATCAGTCATGTATGCATGCGCGTGTTAGAGACAATTCGCAAAAGCGAAGGTTGCTATGGAGTTTTTCAATGGTGGCTTAGATGTCGTTTTACTTAACTTTTGCTTCCTATTCGCACGACTTTGCGGTTATCTTAAATGTGGCAAATCAAGGTCGGTAGGGGCTTCAGGGTGAACACTGTAACCTCGACGACCTTTGAGCGGCGTCGAATCCTTTCTGCATTTATATTACACGCGCTTTAAAATTTCCAAAGCGTGCATCTTCGCTTTCCAATATAAGAACAAATATATATGCAGTATATAAAAAAAAAAAAAAAAACTTTTCGCAATATTTTTTTTTTTTTTGCGTTGGGTTCGTCTAGTACGTGCTTCGAGTTTCATTTGCTACGATCTCCTTGCACAGCAGACATGAGCAATCGCACCGTCGAACGGACGCTTTACATCCGCCTCAATTGACTTGCTATCGCACCAAGCAAAACACGAAAAAAAGAATGAAAAAGAAACTAAGCGAATCGCGAGGATAAGAAAAGGCGGAAGCAAGCAGCACGTATTCAAACAGGCGAGCGATACGCCAACATTCGAAGAACGCCGGATGTTGAATATTTTTGCACGAATGATTATTATTATTGTCATTACTATATTTTTACTGCAACCTAAGAAGGGTGTCCAGATGAACTATATAACAAATTTGTGGTGAACAGGGAATATATATTATGCGAACTGCAATGCAGCGTAACGAGTCGTCATTTTTGAACCAGCGGAAGCAAAAATAATGCATCAAGATATACCAGGTATTAAAAAATTAAATGAGCAAAAAAAAAAAAAAACACAAAAAAACAAAAAAAAAACAACGTACGTATTCCGAAAACAGAATTATTTGAAAGAAAATTCTCAGCTATTCATCTTTTCACGAGGCAGTCTTCCAAATCAGACACAGAGAGAATAATCAGAACCAGTTCACGCACAATTTAAAGGCCGGATTGCCAATATACCTGCTGCCAAATTAGCCAAGTACCAAAGAGAATTTCGGGAACTTAGATACACGGTCTGCACTTCACTCGCCTGATCGGTGTAAAAAAAAAAAAAATCGAAGTAAATAATAATAATTAAAAAAATGGCGTTGGCAGGAGCTCGCGCAAAATGTCATGTTTTTTTTTTTTTTTTTATTCATTTCTTTCTGCTTTAAAATAGCTTTTGTGTAGATGCCATCACATGCCCGTAGCGCGTGTAACACACTTCACTCCGGGCGTGGCCTCTGTGATTTTTGACATAACGGGCTTTGCTTTGCGCGCAGAGGTATGCGCGACAAAACTCTCGGAGGCTGGAGTTAATATAATGTACGCTAGAGCTTTAGATAGCGTTAATGTGCTGTTGAAAATGGGAAAATAGAGAGCAACCAGTCGAAAATTGACTTCCGGTAATGCATTTCTATGGGGAAAAGCGGGTGCCTTTCTCTCTCTCTTTCTCTCTACACTTGTTTATAAGAGCAATATTACAAATAATGGTAACGTATAGTATAGTAAATAGCTTAGAGAATTTCTCAGTCGCGTAAATGAAAGCATTATTCAGTTACGTTTTTTTTAATTTTTAATTCATAGCCCTAGACATGTGCTAAAACAGCTTCATACACGCATTTATGCGCACTGTCAGACACTATTAGCGCGAACACCACGTCTGCGCTTTTCTGGATGGGGGATTTACTTGTGAAACGAACGAAGGACATCTAGAGAACTACGAGAGATGGCCAAAAACTACGCAGTAACACTGCATCAGTAGCTCCCTGTGCATGTAAACAATGAAAATAAAGTGAGGCTAAGTAATATAGCCCGGTTTCCTGTAAATAAGTACTGGTCCTTTCTCGCTGATCGTGCATATGGGCGAAGATGCTCGTTCCGCGATCGATAGATCACCCGCACGCTCGACATCTTGGAAAATGGGGAACAGCCAAGAAGCCGGAGCCCCGATAAAAGCTGCCCGGCATAGGAAATAACAGAAAGAGACGGCTTTCATAACCAACGTACATTGTTCTTTGCGCATCGAGTGTTTTTATCCGCTCGTAAAGATGCATGACGCGGTCATTTTTATATCGTGCCAGGACTGGCGTATTAACCAAATA